ATCTGTGTTACATTTTTGTTAATATCTCCAGAATGCTGGAGGAGCACCAGGCAGTTTTGGCATTTTCAGAAGCAGAAAAATTCGTTTGATTTTCTGTAAAAGTTCCAACCAATCATTTTCATTTGTCAACCTTGGTCGATTTCGCCAGTCCTGCTTGTCTTCAGTCTGAAGACAGCGGGCTCCAAGAGGTTAAAACACTTTTAGGACACACTGTAGTATAGCAATTATTCATCTTCTCTCATAAAAGCTACGATTTGAGCAAGTTCCTGGCAGTGAAATGATGGTATCTCGTTTACAATAGGTTTTACTTTTCGACTCTTAAAATTCCTAGCACATGATCTATACATTTCTCAGTTGTGACTGATATCCATGTTGGCTTTCTTTAAGAGAACATGAACAATCTGAAAATTTAGCAAAGAATCTCATTACTAATCTACAGTGCCATCTACATAGATATATAAAAAACAAAGAAAAAAAAGATGTAAAATATCAGTTGGATAGAAATGTTTGCAATTTATAATGAATAGGTTCAATTTCATTTCGAATATTTTTTTTTGCTATTTACATGTTAGAGGCAAAAACCTAGCCAACAGCATGTACACATCGTTCAGAGATGGAAAAACATGATTCTGTTCTGTTTATTTTCGTCAAGTGGCAAAGCTTTACTATGCATGCTGAATTCTTCCAACATAAAGTTGTTTTTCATTGAAAACACAAGTATTTTACCCAAACAGTCACCTTCACTGACAATTACAATTTAACGTGAAATATCGGAATTTTGATACCAGAAATAAGTAAGTTTTAGCATCTCTTTTTAGTTAGAGTTCAACTAGAATGGCAGTTTTTACACTCGAATTTGTATCTTACTTACTACTCGATAATTATTAAAATGCTAATCCAATGCACCGTTCCTATTTATTGGAAACAGTTTTCGAATTACTATTTTCGTCATCTACTCAGACATGTAATAGTCGAAACTAAAAATTCAGTTATTGAAGCCAGTTTCAAGTTTACTACTATTGAATACTTGAGCTCCCAAATATTCAAGTATTTAATCAGTCAGAGGTATAGAGGTAACCTGAGGATTGCGGCAAAACCCTTGACCTGGGGGGGGGGGGGGAGGTTAAAGACAAAGGTGGATTGCTTTGAAGTTAGAAAACTCTTAAGGAATGATACCATGGCGAAGACAGGGCTATATTCTTTGTTTTGAAATAACATGAATAGCTGAACTTGAATACTTTGAATGGCTGCAATAGTTCAATTCAACTTTCAATTTTGACGCTACTGTATGGATGCGGGTATTGGTGTAAATGCTGCTATGGTGTATATGGCTCTTGTCGTAATCCACACTTACATCCTATGATAGGTTTCGGGACATATATAACAACCATGTCATCACGGTCATCATATTTTGCACTAGGATAGTAGACAAATGTCTCTATGCCATCGGATTTCAATTATCAACAATTTCTAGAGGTCTGAAAATTTGTCAGTAAATACCGGATCAAGAGTATAGAATAGGGGAACAAAGCCCGGTCCATTGCTGTAATGCAAAGAAAAGTATGATGGGCTACATGTATTTTTGGTTCAAGCCATTGAGCCTGAAAATATGGCGCCTGAAGGATTTTGCTTTGCTTTTTATTCCATAATGACTAATTCTGCATACTTTGATTTACAATAGGAACCTGATATACGGTATTTCTTTATCTATATGATAAAGTTGTTAGCGGAGAATTGCTGTTTATGAGCCACCGACGTCCACACATCGATCGTAAGCACAGGATTTTGCATGTGTTAAAGATTTCGTTCGGAAATTTGTACACAGGAATGTTGAACTAAAAGCGAAGCTTCTGTAAACATTGGACTTCGATTCATTGAACTACTAATAAGTTATTGTCTCCAAAGAATAACAAACTCCTACTGTCCACATCGATGGTCACAGGAAAACCATCATCTTTCTAGAAACGCTTGATGATCTCCACTGAATCTAATACTATGGATAGTTGGAACATAGCATATCACAATAAACGCTTAGCTGACTAGCGAAAACCTTCCTCTTCAGAGCCATGAAGATCGAAACAGAACAGGATCTATCCATTGCTCTTCATCATATTTCTCCTTTCACTTGTACAATCAAAATGTAGTTTTATACCTGATGTACATTCTTATTATATTTGCGAACACTAATTTTCAAATCACCAGCAAGTATGACAGCTAAGCGCCGATGGGATAAAGACTTTTGCCTACTATTATCAGTAATTCACGAGAAACAATAATTTTTAAAAAAGTGTTAATATTAAAACTATGAAATCTTGATTCGACTAATATGTAAAACGAATTATTGTTTTAGTACCAGGAAAAGTTAATAAATTATCTCTTTGAAAGTATTTCTTCAAAGTAAACAGCACCCAAATTTTACGATGGCTACCTCTAAGACAAGCACCACTACAAAGGATATGTGTGATATGTGTTCTCCGAAACAAGTTGTTGCCATTACATCGTGTAAAGGTTGCTTGAAGGATATGTGCCGTAGACATTTCAATGATCATCGGGAAAAACTTTTCAAAGATTTACAAAATGTCTTTGACCTTCATGATAATCTTCTGCAAGAACTACAACTTACAACCAATCGTGCATCAAAATCATCAGATAGTAATAATGCTCTTGCTTTATTCAAACAAATTGATGAATGGAAAGCGAAAACAATCGAGCGTGTTTCGCAAGCAGCCAATGAAGCACGAGCAAATGTGGAACGCTTATTTAGTAGAAAAGCGGAATATGATCAATTGAAGAAAAAAGTTGATGAAATTACGAAAGAGTTAAAAGACCAGCAAGAATCAGAAAGTTTTGTGGAAACTGATATTGATCATTGGATGAAACAATTGAAACAACTAAAAGCTGATCTTAATCGACCATCAAAGGTGGACACTGATCCTCCTGTTCTTCAGGTGCAAAATATTGATTGGAACACAATTATCAAGATCTCTTCTTCTTATAACGAACATGGAAAACACACTAATTTGGCTCAAAACCAACTGGAAAAAGGTATGTTGTATCTGCTTTCTATAAAGTATCCATGATTAATTACGATGAATGCAATGCTAATAGTCTCTATGCTCGATAAAAATTGAGAAGTAGCCTGGTTAGAAAGCGATTTAAAAAATCTGTTGCTGTAAGTAAGCGTCCTCCTTTTTAATATTTTGTAAAACTTTTTGCGAAAGTGACGAATATCTGCTTTGATTAAAGGTTTTGGAAAGTCCTTTCATTGCAGATAAAAAACGCGAGCCGTCACCTATGTTCCATTCTATTGAACTCGCTATTTTTCATCATTCTTCTAAATAAAGAGGCTCAAAGTTGCAGAAGTTATGAAGACTTAAGTGACACATTGTAAAGAAAAACTGGAAGAATATTTAAGTTGCCAGAGCTTATTACTGAGATATATACAACAGGAATGAAATAGCATATACCGAATGCCAAAAAAATCATAGACGTTATTAATATCATCGGATGAACACTGCCAGTTTACGTACACCTTATACTCTATATGTATAAATGCATTCGTTCATTAAAATATTATTGTTTCTTTTGAGTAGAAATTACTAACAGATTCTTTGACAAAAAGACTCTTTCGACTTTTATAGCCCATTGATGATGAACAATCTTCATTTTCTGAAACATGCTTTCTAAGTAACAAAACTCAAAGAAGTCTCCTAATCCTTTGTATATGTTGGAAAATAACAGCAGATGCAATGTGTCTAAACATATAATTCTCTGTTCCTTTTAGGTTTATCAAGAGCACAAGTACCAAACTTTTTTCAATCATCAATCGAAGAAGATGACTATGTCACTTGTTCCTTTAGTATGTTATTCTCGCTTTTATTCAAACTTAAAATTAATATATTCAAGTATAACAAAAATGGAAACATCATCATTCATCTTAAAAGCATTCCACATCCGTATGGTTTGCAATGTCAATTTGAAGACGAAGTTTCAAATCGAAGTGTAAAATGTACTTGCGCGCAACCCTGCTTAAGAATAGTCTATTACTACAGGTAATGGATTTTCAACAGATCTGACTCACAAATTACAAAGCCAGCAGAATACTAGAACGAAAGCATTATATGATCTATTCATGTCTGTCGCCGTAGTGAGTTTTAGATATGCAATCATATCCTATTCCTTTCGCATCATACTTGATCGGTATCGTGTTAGACACCAGCCGCTGATCACCGATTGGAAATGTTCATAGCCAATAAAGAACTCTCGACTCGGTAGTAATCTAATAATAGAAAAAACCTAAATGATGTAAATTCAAAAAACATCCAATTCTCTTAAGCATCCAAGCTAGACAAAAACTTCCCGAATTTTGCTGATCGAATAAGAACATCCACATGAGAGTGATGATTTCTTAATATCGTCAACTTGTTGATATATAAATCAATCGGATATACAATATCAATATTATAGTATTTCCGCACAAAATTAGAAGTCAAGCTATAAATCAAACTTGTCCCTTCGTATCATAATACTACTTTTCGCAGATATCGATCTAAAAACCAACAAAACCGAACACAGCATGAAGTTAGAATGTTCTCGTCATATCTCATACCTCGGAACTTGTCGGTGAAGATTCAATCATTATCTAATCACAAAATAACAGCAAATTACTAGACGCATGAACCTTGAGATACCACACGTCAAATGAACTGAATATGTGCAGCTCCTTTTCCATCTAAAACACTCAATACCGGAATCACACAGGCAGCATCGCCATTCAAATATAGTACACTCAGATATTTCTTAGAGAAGGAGAATACTACGAAGAAACCCAATATTCGAACAATACAAGCCGCAACAATCGTCAACTACTATGCATGCTGAGATGTAGCTTGGGTTTTTAATAGTAAATGATCAAACGAATAGAATACTTGGAATCTCACAGTGGTACGATGATTCGTATTCTACATGACATTCGACAGAATTTCTATTCTGCTATGCGTGTATCAGAACAAATAAAACACCTGAACAATATCAGCAGTACAATTATTTATATATTTCATGTCATCAAATCGAGTTTGCATACCAATATTGGGGTATTGAACTAAACCCAATATCTAAACAAACCAAGAGGAAAGATATTTCACATACTTGGTGTTGTAGAATGTGGTTTTCGTTTTTATCAGTTTACGACCCCAAAAACTAAATATATGTACATTGCTAGCAGGGAAAAGGTTCTAATATTGCATGGTGTTTTAGATATTTTTCTATTTCCTCATTTTATTAGAAAAGAAACAAAAGCATTTGAACAATATAACATCAACAGATTGAAAATAGGAATACTATGGATCCTTACATCCAGGTAAGGTATAGATTACTTCCTAAAAAAGGTATAAAACACCTGAACAAAACATGCAGAACAATTGTTCATATACTCTGTGTCTTCTGCCACTAATGCTGTTGTCATAAGCTTATAGTCCACGAAATGAAAAAATAGCACTATTCAAGCCAAGTGATCGTTCCAATGCTCTGAATTTTTTGAATGTTTCATTTTCCCTCGCTTCTTTATTATACAAATGCAACAACTGAACAAACGAGGTGAGCAACAGTTCAGATACTCGATGTGCACTACTACATCTTTGATTCATGAGTTTAAAACCGAAAGAAACCAACCCTTTGAGCCATACCAGCCGTGAGGCTCTTCCGGAACCATGTGCTGTTTGATAGCTTTTCGCTTTCGATTGCTTCATAATGAAATGAAATCCTATATTTGCACAATCCAAGTCGAACAAAACTTCACAAACTCTACTAAACAGACATCCTTTGGATTTCTATGAGTTCATAATCCTAAGTACCGTTATACTTGAACAGTACTTGTCGAATGTTCATTCACGTATCCTGTCTTGCTTGATACACTTCTGATTACATTCTCTATTGGCATAGTGAATAATCCAGCAGAACAATTGGAGGCGAGTGACCGTAGGAAAAATACGTGTTACTGGGAACTTGGCGATTATCATTCGTTCACAATCGCTCGGAATGAAATATCCCAACAAATCATGCGGCACAATTATTGAAATACCCTGTACTGCTCGATAATACCTGAACCCTCACAAATTCAATCAAACAGAAAAAAAATTCCCGAATACCACCCGCAGGGTGCTCATTTATATTCCCGATGTTTCCTCATAATTTTATTTCTTTCATATCTTCACTTCCTATGTCTAGGGAATACTCAGCCAAAACAAGCAGGATCAGTGTTCATATGCGACTCGTTTCTTCAAGCTATCACCGCGCAAGATAATCATTTCACCTTCACATAAAATACACGAAACACGCTTCAGAATATCCATTTGTAGTCCCCATTTTCCATCATGCTTCTATACCGTAGAAAAATCCATTTTAGTCTACCGCTAAATAATCCAATAACATCAGCAGATAGATTATTCACTTACAACAAGTGATCTAACTTTCCTACAAGCCCGATTCACTCATTTCGATATTCCATCTTATAACCAACCAACAAATGGCGAATCACCATATGAGTGCCTCCTCATATTTCGCAATTCAATCACTTTAACCTTTTCTTTTTATTTCCCATGACTTACTCGAACAGCATCAGAATAATCGTCATCTGAATACCACGTCACTTTTCATATTTTAATAACTTTCCCTTCTTCATTTTCATCTACAAACAGTTTACCGAATTTTTCAATGAAGTAATCATTTAAATATTACACCTTCCTTTCTATTTCCCTACGCTTCATTATCTCCAAATGATTCTCAAGAATATTTCCGATCAATACCCCCAGGAGGACTATTGAAATAGCAAGTGTTATTCAATATTCGACTCAGTTTTACTATCTCATATTCACTGTGAGGTACATTTCCGAACAAGACACGCTGGACGATCATGGAAATATCAAGTGTTATTTAAAATTCAACTGAGTTTTATTATCTCATTTTCATTGTGAGGTAGATTTGCGCACAAAGCACGCAGGATAATCATTGACCTATCATGTGAAATTTCGTATTTCACTGAGTTTCATTATTTCATTTATATTGCGAGGCCCATTTCCGACCGAGATACGTCGTATCATCATTGCAATATCATGTGTTATTCAATATTTCACTGAGTTTCAGCATTTCATTTTCATCATGAGATACGTTTCCGAACAACAGACGGTGGATGATCATTGACATATCACGGGTTATTTCATATTTGAGTTAGTGCCGTTATTTCCTTTTTATTGTGAGGCGCATTTCCGAACAAATTAGGTCGTCTCACCATTGAAATATCATGCGTTTCTTAATATTTGACTTCCTTGCACTATTACCTTTTTCATTGTGAGGTAGATTTCCGAACAACATACGATGGATGATCATTGAAATATCATGCGTTACTCAATATTTGACTTCGTCGCACTCTTTCATTTTCATTGTGAGGTACATTTCCGGACAAGAGACGGAGGATGATCATTGAAATATCATGCGTTTCTCAATATTTGACTTAGTTCCACTGTTTCATTTTCATTGTGAGGTACATTTCCGAACAAGAGACGGAGGATGATCATTGAAA